CAGAGCAGAACTGAAGGAGATAGAGACACAAAAAACTCTCCAAAAAAATCAATGAATCCAGGAGTTGGTTTTTTGAAAAGATCAACAAAATTGACAGACCACTAGCAAGACTAATAAAGAAGAAAAGAGAGAAGAATCAAATCGACGCAATTAAAAATGATAAAGGGGATATCACCACCGACCCCACAGAAATACAAACTACCATCAGAGAATACTATAAACACCTCTACGCAAATAAACTGGAAAATCTAGAAGAAATGGATAATTTCCTGGACACTTACACTCTTCCAAGACTAAACCAGGAAGAAGTTGAATCCCTGAATAGACCAATAGCAGGCTCTGAAATTGAGGCAATAATTAATAGCCTACCAACCAAAAAAAGTCCAGGACCAGATGGATTCACAGCTGAATTCTACCATAGATACAATGAGGAGTTGGTACCATTCCTTCTGAAACTATTCCAATCAGTAGAAAAAGAGGGAATCCTCCCTAACTCATTTTATGAGGCCAACATCATCCTGATACCAAAGCCTGGCAGAGACACAACAAAAAAAGAGAATTTTAAACCAATATCCCTGATGAACATCGATGCAAAAATCCTCAATAAAATACTGGCAAACCGGATTCAGCAACACATCAAAAAGCTTATCCACCATGATCAAGTGGGCTTCATCCCTGGGATGCAAGGCTGGTTCAACATTCGCAAATCAATAAACATAATCCAGCATATAAACAGAACCAAAGACAAGAACCACATGATTATCTCAATAGATGCAGAAAAGGCTTTTGACAAAATTCAACAGCCCTTCATGCTAAAAACGCTCAATAAATTCGGTATTGATGGAACGTACCTCAAAATAATAAGAGCTATTTATGACAAACCCACAGCCAATATCATACTGAATGGGCAAAAACTGGAAAAATTCCCTTTGAAAACTGGCACAAGACAGGGATGCCCTCTCTCACCACTCCTATTCAACATAGTGTTGGAAGTTCTGGCTAGGGCAATTAGGCAAGAGAAAGAAATCAAGGGTATTCAGTTAGGAAAAGAAGAAGTCAAACTGTCCCTGTTTGCAGATGACATGATTGTATATTTAGAAAACCCCATTGTCTCAGCCCAAAATCTCCTTAAGCTGATAAGCAACTTCAGCAAAGTCTCAGGATACAAAATTAATGTGCAAAAATCACAAGCATTCTTATACACCAGTAACAGACAAACAGAGAGCCAAATCAGGAATGAACTTCCATTCACAATTGCTTCAAAGGGAATAAATACCTAGGAATCCAACTGACAAGGGATGTAAAGGACCTCTTCAAGGAGAACTACAAACCACTGCTCAGTGAAATAAAGAGGACACAAACAAATGGAAGAACATACCATGCTCATGGATAGGAAGAATCAATATCGTGAAAATGGCCATACTGCCCAAGGTAATTTATAGATTTAATGCCATCCCCATCAAGCTACCAATGAGTTTCTTCACAGAATTGGAAAAAACTGCTTTAAAGTTCATATGGAACCAAAAAAGAGCCCGCATCTCCAAGACAATCCTAAGTCAAAAGAACAAAGCTGGAGGCATCACGCTACCTGACTTCAAACTATACTACAAGGCTACAGTAACCAAAACAGCATGGTACTGGTACCAAAACAGAGATATAGACCAATGGAACAGAACAGAGTCCTCAGAAATAATACCACACATCTACAGCCATCTGATCTTTGACAAACCTGAGAGAAACAAGAAATGGGGAAAGGATTCCCTATTTAATAAATGGTGCTGGGGAAATTGGCTAGCCATAAGTAGAAAGCTGAAACTGGATCCTTTCCTTACTCCTTATACGAAAATTAATTCAAGATGGATTAGAGACTTAAATGTTAGACCAAATACCATAAAAACCCTAGAGGAAAACCTAGGTAGTACCATTCAGGACATAGGCATGGGCAAAGACTTCATGTCTAAAACACCAAAAGCAACGGCAGCAAAAGCCAAAATTGACAAATGGGATCTCATTAAACTAAAGAGCTTCTGCACAGCAAAAGAAACTACCATCAGAGTGAACAGGCAACCTACAGAATGGGAGAAAATTTTTGCAATCTACTCATCTGACAAAGGGCTAATATCCAGAACCTACAAAGAACTCAAACAAATTTACAAGAAAAAAACAAACAACCCCATCAAAAAGTGGGCAAAGGATATGAACAGACATTTCTCAAAAGAAGACATTCATACAGCCAACAGACACATGAAAAAATGCTCATCATCACTGGCCATCAGAGAAATGCAAATCAAAACCACAATGAGATACCATCTCACACCAGTTAGAATGGCGATCATTAAAAAGTCAGGAAACAACAGGTGCTGGAGAGGATGTGGAGAAATAGGAACACTTTTACACTGTTGGTGGGATTGTAAACTAGTTCAACCATTATGGAAAACAGTATGGCGATTCCTCAAGGATCTAGAACTAGATGTACCATATGACCCAGCCATCCCATTACTGGGATATACCCAAAGGATTATAAATTATGCTGCTATAAAGACACATGCACACGTATGTTTATTGCGGCACTATTCACAATAGCAAAGACTTGGAATCAACCCAAATGTCCATCAGTGACAGATTGGATTAAGAAAATGTGGCACATATACACCATGGGATACTATGCAGCCATCAAAAAGGATGAGTTTGTGTCCTTTGTAGGGACATGGATGCAGCTGGAAACCATCATTCTTAGCAAACTATCACAAGAACAGAAAACCAAACACCGCATGTTCTCACTCATAGGTGGGAACTGAACAATGAGATCACTTGGACTCAGGAAGGGGAACATCACACACAGGGGCCTATCATGGGGAGGGGGGAGGGGGGAGGGATTGCATTGGGAGTTATACCTGATGTAAATGACGAGTTGATGGGTGCAGCACACCAACATGGCACAAGTATACATATGTAACAAACCTGCATGTTATGCACATGTACCCTACAACTTAAAGTATAATAATAATAAATAAATTAAAAAAAAAAAAAAAGAAAAGGGGTTGGAAAAAAAATGTGTTTGCATAGGTGGAAAGATGTTTGCTAAAAATGGGCATAGAATTGGAGCAAACTATGCCTTTACTCTTTCCGTTTGGCCTTCCATTTTTTTAGGTGTGTCTTAATGTGATAATTATGTCATCTTATCAGTGATTTTTTAAGATTCTCCTCATACAAAAAATAAGGGACCATTTGCTTCTTGTTATCTCCATCCATTTTCCATGCAATAGTGGGGTCCATTTCTGTTTGATTTCCAAAATTTGGCATGTAATATTCAAAGTGCTACTTCAGGTGGAAAAAACCAAGATTTTGGATTTTGAGTCCTTGGTCAGATGTTTTGCCTGGTAGTGTTCTTATTCTTCTTTATGCATGGTTATAATTTTCTCTTTTTTTGCTGTCATGGATGTCGCCTTTAGTGATCTGACCTATTTTCTCTTTAGAATATTTTATCAGGACTCCATAAGATACTTATGGACAGATATATCATCTTATCCAACCTTGTTCCCTGGCATCTTGTCCCAGTCCCTATCATTTCAGGAGCTCAGTCAAAATCCATGAAAAAGAGTAATCACTATAATACTAGTGAAAAGAATATTACCAATACATATTAAATACGTAATTTGAAAGGAAAATAAATCAAAAGATAATTTGTAAAATCTTCAAGGTTCTTCATTGGAAGTTATAATTGAAAATTATGTGGAATATTCAAAGAAAGAACAGTCATTTGATTGTAGAATCATTTTCAAGTTCGTGTTTTTAATAATTAGAATATCTGAATGAGAAATAATGACTTGGACAAATGGAAGACTCCCTCTCCACTTTTCTTTCAGTGGTCTTCAAGTACCTGCAGAGATATCTGTCATAGTTTCCTTGTCTCCTCAGACAATAGGGAAACAATTTCAATTTTACAATGTGTTCCAAGGCCTTATCCCATACTCTTGGCCTTTTTTCAACTTTAGCCAATGCCTTTGGGAACCAATTTAACCATTTATTTCAAAGAGTCAATGATGCCATAAACTCTAATAAATGACATCTGTGTCCACTTCCCTGCGTTTGAATTGTTAAAATAGATTTTGGAAAGAGTTTTTAATAGAGTATGTGAGCAAAAACATTGTTTTTTCCCTCTAAAAACAGCATTTGTACAAATATTATAAAAATGAAGATTAATCTTATTCAAATAACTTTCCTTCTTCTCCTACTAGTCACCCAACTGGACTCCCTTTCACAACTTCTTTGTATCTTGGTATCCTATGAGAATAAATCCAGGCCAAGTTAATTTGGTTGGAAGAGATTCTTGCCCTGTAACATCTTGGCCTGTGAAAACATCTACAAGTGATGTACCACACAGTTTAACCTTTGCAATTGACTAAAATAGATTCAAGCACCACAGCTACATTTGGGGTTTTATGTTGACGATAGCAAAGCCACAAAATAAAAGGTACTCAGATCCCTGAATAGCCAACCAGAGTCATCTGAGCAGGAAGTCCTGCATTGAGCTTTTATAGGAAGGAAAGGTAAATTTGCATATTGATCTAAATGCTAATTGTTTTCTATTTATCTGTTACAGCAGCTCTCATCAACTTAACTGACGAAGTCTTTTAAAATACTATCTTGAAGAAACTTTTCCATAAAAAATTAAATTTCCAACTTTGGAAATAGCAAATACCCCTCAAAGATTTAAGCAGATAAATAAAATTATAAATGATCATCTTGAGAAACTAATACATGTTCTTTTCTGCATTTTTTATAAATTTGTAATACACAATATAATTTTGATATAATCTACTGATTTTGGTTTCAGATTTTTCTAGCTGGTTAAAAAATCTGAGATGACTTTGCTTTTTTGGCTCAGGAAACAATAATGTAATTGATTAGAGAGAGTCATGAATATATAATAACTTTCTTGTTTATTTGTTGTCTTGTCTTTGAGGATTGTTAACGAGGGAAAAGCACCCTTCAATTTCCCCTCTGACAGCCTCCCAGGCACAGAGGCCTTATTCCCTTTACTTCACATAGGGAATGATTCTTTGGAAATATTTCCAGACAACAATTCCTAAATAGAGACAAGACAGATTTTTCTACTTTTGTAGAAATTTACTTTTGTCAGCTGCAGTCGTTCTAGGCTGTGATCAGGTCTGGAGAGTCGTTTATTGAGGAGGATCTTACGCCAAGCAACCAGTGTGTCGTCCCTGGGGAAGAGGCTGAAGATCTGTTGGAGAGCTGACGGTGGAAACGGATGTCTGTCTTCTGGATTTGGGTGATATTTCCTCGTTTCCTAGAAAACTTGAAGTGGGTTCTGTCATTAGGCATGATTGAGAGGGGATACTTTTCAGCTGTGTAAATAGCACAGCGGTTTCCTCCTGCCTTTCTTCTTTTCTAGCCATGGTTCCAAGGCTTGTCCCTCCCAAGTGAGCAGGCAGCGCTGGAGATGAGAACGATCACTCCCGCCATTACCAGGGAGGTGTGGGCCACTGCTATTTCAGAGATCCACTAGCCTGCCGCGAGGTCGGCGCGGGCCCGCTACGCAAAGAGCGCAAAGCTCCCAGCGCTGCGCACCACGGCCGCAGCAAGGCGCCAGAATGGCGTTTCCCGATGCCCAGGATTTGGGAACCGCGGGTTTGAGTTTCAGGGCGTCCGGCAGCCCCAGGGAAACGTCGTCGCGGCTTATCGCGCCAACTTTGTGCAGCTTCAACCTGAGTAAAAAAATCTCCTTTGCTGTTGAGGAGGCAGCACCGCCGTGGTCTCCCTTGAGACATCTTCCTCAGGTAGCCAGCAGGGCACTTTTTATTTTCGGGATTTCCCCCTGGGTTTAGGGCTTTTATTTCCCATAGAGACTTTAGTGAGACTTGTTTTACGGAAGGACCAGTTGATTCCGGGACTTGAGGGCTCGAGATCGCACGGGTTTAATCTTCGGGATTCCGTTTGTGTGGGGGCGCGGGGCAGGGACGTCTTGGGGAAGGGGACACGCTGGACCTTGGGGCGAGCGGACGGGTCCTGGGAGCGCCCGGGGCTGGGGACGCCGCGTACCGAGCCAGGAGGAGAGAGGCGCCCGTGCCTGCCCCAGGGTGTGCCAGGGGCTAAGCTTTCAGCTTCAGACGTCAACATCGCTGAAACCATAACTCAACTCAGGTATATTAAAACTCAACAGCATTATTTTAAATACTTTATACCAAAACAAGAATGTTGTGATCTTACTTCCCTAGCTTTAAAGGAAGCAAGCTCAGCAATGCTTTCAAGATCCCTACTTTGACATTTCCGGCGACTCAGGGACACTGAGATAATTTTATTTAATTTGAGTTTACTGAAAGGCCTTCCTCAGGACCCCACCTTGACTTGTGTTGCTGAAAAGAGAAATGAGCAGTGTTGCCTACAAGGAATAGAGAAGCAGGTCAGAACTTTATTTTCTAGGGTAAGAATTTTAAAGCCTGAGTGGAGTTTGCCATAATTTGTTACACTGGCCCCTCTCCTTTGTAAGACCCTCAGGGTCTTCTTACATTTCCTGCCTTTACTTAAAATTTTGATATTTGCCTCATCATTGATGTTTAGGCATTAATTTCCAATTTTAATACTGTATTAAAATACTATTTGAGTTTATAATTTAAGTATATATATTTAAATATATAAAGGATGTATATTTTTATATTGATCTATTTTATGTGTTTCTGTACATTTAAATGCTTATATATAACATATTTATATATTTCAGCATATACTTTATATAAAATTATAACATGTATGTATTTATTTAAAAACGCATAATATATAAAATGTAAGTACATATACTACATATTCTTACATATATAGAGATATATAGTTATAAACTAAAAATAAAAGTAAAATACTAAGCCACCCATTGGCTGAACACGCCCCCTTTTGGCCAATGGGACCCTGAAAACCTTAACTGAATTCTCAACCATGATGGGAAACAGGTTGGACACGCCTCATTATATCCCCCTCCGTTTTGGAGTTTGGACTTCAACTGGCCAGCATTAATGTTATAAGAGAGACAATAAGACAAAACAGACTCTTTGTGGCAATAAGATAGCAAATTATAAGCAAGACCTAAGGCCATGCAAGGCAAGGGTTGAGTCATGCGCTGCAAACCATAAAATCTCCTTAAATGCATTTTTAAAAATTAACCCAGTAAAATGTGGCTCACTTTCTAACCTAACTGTCACATAGCATTGCATGGCAGATTGTAGACCCATTTGTCTTAATTTAAGCATTCTTTCTAATGACTTCAAGTCTTTAGACAAAGCTTAACTCTTTCAACCAACTGCCAGCTAAAGAATCCCTGAAACCCACCTGTGACTTTTAAATCCCCACTTTGAGATGTCTTGCCTTTTCTGGCCAAACCAATGTATACCTTCCATGTATTGATTTATGATTTTACCTGCAATTCGTATCTCCCTGAAATGTCTAAAACCAAATTATAACCCAACCGCCTTGGGTGCACTTTTTCAGGACCTCTTAAGACTGCTTCTCCAGGATATGGTCACTCATATGGGCTCAGAATAAACATTTTTAAAATATTTTCTAGTCCTACAGACTATTTCCTCTCCTAGAGTTTCCATTTAGGAGGCGTCAGCGTGCAAGACCCTGAGAGTGTCAGGGGAGCTGCAATCAAAGCTTTTCTTGGATGGACTTGGTTGAATATGGACTATACAGATTATAAATATATGGTTGTATGTATATATATTTTCTATATAGTTCACAAATTCAAACTATATAGATTATATTTATACTAAAGGTTACTATCTGTATTAGTCTGTTCTCATGCTGCTACTAAAGACATACCCAAGACTGAGTAATTTATAAAGGAAAGAAGTTTAATTGACTCACAGTTCCGCATGGCTGGGGAGGCCTCACAATCATGGCAGAAGGTGAATGAGGAACAAAGTCATGTCTTACCTGGTGGCAGGCAAGAGAGAGCTTGTGCAGGGAGAACTCCCATTTATAAAACCATTGGATCTCGTGAGACTTATTCACTACCACAAGAACAGTATGGGAGAAACCACCCCCATGATTCAATTATCTCCACCTGGCCCCACCATTGACATGTGGGAATTATTGCAATTCAAGGTGAGATTTGGGTGGGTACACAGCCAAACCACATCACTATAATTTATCATGTTCATATTCTCAGCCAGTAATTTCCAAACTTCATTTCACTTAATCTTTACAGTTTCTAACATGACAACTACTAAAATATTCTCAATTTTTCAGAAGAGGAAACAAAAATCTGATGTTTAACTTGCTAAGAGTCTCAGATTTTGTCAGAAAGTGAAGCTTTCTACTGCCTCCCAACTCCCCTCTTGATTTGCTCTCAGTACTTCCTCTTGGCTGCACTGAGAATGCTAGTGCTTAATTAATCATAATCATGTCTTTAATGTCTGGCTTTTGTTCCCTAGAGGGCAATTATCTTCCTGTCTTATAATCCTTGAATCCACATTGCCAAGCACATTGTTTGTCCCATGTATGCAGTGAACACATTTTTAGTGACAGAATGAAGACAACTGGATGAGTTAACCATTGGTATGCCAGTTTTATGCCCCGTGATCTGTAGATTGTGATTTGTGGCTCCTGTAAAGAAAGGTGGAAGAAATCAAATCTAGTGCATTAACCCCTTAAAAGGGAAATGGAGAGAGGTGAGGAAATGTGTATTTCAGTGCAATTTAATAAGTAAAAATGGGCCAGGCACAGTGGCTCATGCCTGTAATCCTAGCATTTTGGGAGGCTGAGGCAAGCGGATCACTTGAGGTCAGGAGTTCGAAACCAGCCTGGCCAACATGGTGAAACCCTGTCTCTACTAAAAATACAGAAAAATTAGCCAGGCATGGTGCCAGGTTCCTGTATCCCAGCTACTTGGGAGGCTGAGGCAGGAGAATTGCTTGAACCCGGGAGGCAGAGGTTGCAATGAGCAGAGATCGCACCACTGTACTCCAGCCTAGGTGACAGAGACTCTATCTCAAAAAAAAAAAAAAAAAAAAAAAGTAAAAATGACATCTAAGATAAAACCTCTAAGTACCATTATTAGAATTTTAAGAGAAATAGATTAAGACTCAGACAGGTTTTTGTTTAAACATTGGTTCTCATTTGGATGAATACATCCTGTTAGACTGAGATTTCTGCCATTTTCGAAGTGTTTAATTTCGATTATAATACAAAAGAAGTGTTGAGGTCATGACATTATCTGAAATCCATAAGTAGAATAGAAAGTGAACAAAATGGAAACAAAATTGAGATAAGTACAAAAACTGAAAATCCTAGCCTGGTTATGTAATGGTCTTACAACCAGAAAGTGCTGAGACAGCTGAGTGAAGGCTCACAAGGGCCAGCCAGCTGCATCCCACCAGTGGCCCTGCCAACCTTTTCACTAGTGACACTGAGGATGATGTTTTCCAGCTTTCTCTGTACCCTTAGCTATGACCTGGCCCAGCCTGCCAGAAGCAGGAGACCTTCACAGTTCTTCACCAAATGGAAGAATCTTCCTTTTCTTCCTGTCTGAAGGACAAGAATGTTTTAAGGTTCTCCTGGAGCAGATGGATGGCACTAAATTCCAAAAGGCTCAGGCCACCAATATTGTCCATGAGATGATCCAACAGATCTCCAATGTTTTCAGCACAAAGGGCTGAAATTCCTCACTGGGCTTGATCAGTAGCTAGAATTTCTGGAGAGCTGTTTGGAACAGGAAATGGAAGAGACCTTGAGTAGAACTCCAGTCTGGCTGTGATGGGTTATTCCCAAAGGACCAGTCTGTATCTGAAAAAGAAAAGTACATAGCTGCTGTGCCCAGGACATTGTCCTACCAGAAATAAAGAAGTAAGAATCAGTAAGTTATTTCTCTGTGCTAATAGGCTTATCAGAAAACTCAGAAGTTTGGAAAAGAGATTTAGATGTAAACTTCATTTTGGTCAGTTGGGTCTCATCTGTTAATATGTTGCTTTAAGCTCAGTTCAAAGACTTTCCTTCTGCTTCTATAATAAAATGTATTGAGTCATTTTTGTTAGACTTTTTCAATAAGAAGAATTGTACAGTACTTTTGAATATAAGGAAATTACATTTGTAGTTTGTAACAATTACAATTTATCTCATTATACTTGTCTTCAAATTTTATTCTTTATAAATATGGTCAGCTTTGCCTTCTGTTTTTTCTTTTTTGTTTTTTTTTTAAATGTCCATAAACCTTTAATCTGCCTTCAATTTCAAAAAGAACATAAATGGTTTTATTTCATTGCTTCACAAAATATTTTGAGTATATCTTTTCAAGTAATGTACTTATTTAGTGAATATATTGGTAAATAAGAGAAATGTATTATTTCTGTAGTGGAGCACTCTGGAAAAGGTGACAGGTCTTATAGAGTAAGTAATCAGTAGGAACCCTTTCTAGGGCTATGAAAAAGATGCACCAAACACTTTGGCAGTTTTACTAGCTGGAACTAATTCAGTTTTACTTATGTTTCTTGAAAAAGGCAGAAGGATAGCTTGAGCCCAGGAGTTCAAGGCTGCAGTGCACTGTGATAATGCCACTGCACTCTAGCCTGGGCAGCATAGCAAGACCTGTCTCTAAAGGAAACAAACATAAAAATTAAATGCTCTTTAACCATTCACTCCATGAGTCACTCTTATCATGGTAGCTCCTTCTGAGCAAATGTGGCTTTTTTCCCCCCCAAACAACTGCGTATTCTTTCTTGTACCCTCCTCCAACTTCTTGTGGGTTTCTTTCTCTCATTCATACCCCTGTGCCTTTCTTAAATGGGGCCAAATTGAGGCCATCATTTCTCTCCTTTCATTGATTCAATATCTGTGATTTCACTTGTGAGTATAGATATGAGATCCTCTTTTAGAGAAAGGGTTAATAATTATACTTGATAATTTTGTCTGTCATATATGATTTAAACTTGAAATATTGGGTCACAATCTAATGTATTACAGGTGCTACGTGAATGATATCATGATGAAGACATCTCAGGTTATCATGGTTATATGGCAAGGTTTCATTAAAATAGTTTTTATTCTCCGCATTTGTTTGAGGATAAAGAACACATTCCTTGATGCTGCCTTTATGTTCTTATGGCACATTAATCCCGAATTGATTACTAATTAAATGTTTCAGTGTTGCTCTGATCATGACCACCAAGGGCCTGACAGACAAATCACACAGGCTTCTTTCAGCCTTTATCAAAAATGGTGGTGATGATGATGATGATGATAGCAACTACAAATTATTTTCCCCTTTCTGAGGGACTCATTTAATCCCCCCACCATAATCTCATTTACCAAAAAACTACATGCTAACAGAGTGTATATAACTAAAACAATCTAGTAAATAAAAGGCAAATCTAGGTTTCAAAACCTAGATTTTTGTCAGACTCCAAACTCCACCTC